AATTCACTTCCATTGGGTGGCCCTAACAGCATGGGCCACCCGATGGGTCCCTGAATATGCTGTCCCGGCGGTTCTCCCCAATATAACTAACTGTAACCTAACCTACACAGTGCATCTAACATGTATGGGAGTCTGGAGTGTCCCTTTAATAATATAAACCCATCCAATATAACTAACTGTAACATAACCTACACAGTGCATCTAACATGTGTGGGTGCCTGGAGTGTCCATTTAATAACATAAACCCATCCAGTATAACTAACTGTAACCTAACCTACACAGTGCACCTAACGTGTGTGGAAGCCCGGAGTGTTCCCTTAATAATATAAACCCACCAAGTATGACTAACTGTAACCTAACCTACACAGTGCATCTAACGTGTGTGGGAGCCTCTAGTGTCCCTTTAATAGTATAAACCCACCCAGTATAGCTAACTGTAACCAAACCTGCATAGTGCATCTAATGTGTGTGGGAGCCTGGAGTGTCCCTTTAATAATATAAACCCACCCAGTATAGCTAACTGTAACCTAACCTACACAGTGCACCTAACGTGTATGGGAGCCTGAGGGGTCCCTTTAATAATATAAACCCACCCAGTATAACTAACTGTAACCTAACCTACACAGTGCACCTAATGTGTGTGGGATCCTGGAGTGTGCCTTTAATAATATAATCCCACCCAGTATAACTATAACCTAACCTACACAGTGCATCTAATGTGTGTGGGAGCCTGGAGTGTCCCTTTTATAATATAAACCCACCCAGTATAACTAACTGTAACCTAACCTACACAGTGCATCTAACGTGTGTGGGAGCCTGGAGTGTCCCTTTAATAATATAAACCCATCCAGTATAACTAACTGTAATCTAACCTACACAGTGCATCTAACGTGTGTGGGAGCCTGGAGTGTCCCTTTAATAATATAAACCCACCCAGTATAACTAACAGTAACCTAGCCTACACAGTGCACCTAACGTGTGTGAGAGCCTGGATTGTCCCTTTAATAATATAAACCCACCCAGTATAACTATAACCTAACCTACACAGTGCACCTAACATGTCTGGGAGCCTGGAGTGTCCCTTTAATAATATAAACCCACCCAGTATAACTAACTGTAACCTAACCTACACAGTGCACCTAACGTGTGTGAGAGCCTGGATTGTTCCTTTAATAAAATAAACCCACCCAGTATAACTGTAACCTAACCTACACAGTGCATCTAACATGTCTGGGAGCCTGGAGTGTCTCTTTAATAATATAAACCAACCCAGTATAACTAACTGTAACCTAACCTACACAGTGCACCTAACCTGTGTGGGAGCCTGGAATGTCCCTTTTAATAATATAAACCCACCCAGTATAACTAACTGTAACCTAACCTACACAGTGCATCCAATGTGTGTGGGAGCCTGAAGCATACATTCTTTTAAAAATTACGTTACTCAAAAATATAGGCCATATTAAATATTAAATGGGAGCATCTGGATAAAAATATATATTATATTGCAATAAATAATTAATGCATTAAAATATTTTTTTAAATGTTTGTCCCCGTTTAGGTGCTTCTACTAACACATCAATTAGCATCACAGCCTTCCTGTTAAGACAGGGACTCTCGAGTGGTTGATCTGGAGGACTCCAAGTAAATCATGCGTTACAGTAGAAAATCTTTTTGACAAAATGGCCAATGGAACATGTTATATTGGTACATTAGTTATATTCTTGGGTGCATTGCATGAATTGTATTGTTTGTTCGAAGAGTTTTTTAACACGAGAGGGGTGGGTTGGGGGGGTAAGGGAGGGTGAAGAACTAGCCTTTCCGTTGGAATGTCCAAGGTTCTTGTGTCATTTGATAAGAACCCCTGGGGACAAAGGACCCCTGGGAATAATTTGCTCAACCTAATTCACATCCCTCAGTCATGTCTCAGTTCTCCCATTTTACGTGGGTTAAGTAACGCAATATTTATGGTTCTCTATCTGTCTCTTCGTATTCCCATTGCTGTAAATACTTGTACAAACATTTCTTTTGTGTGCTGTATTCTTTTAAGAAACGCTGGGAGAGCCAGATTAAAAAAGTAATTCAACAAGTTGCCTGCAAGAATTGTGTTGTCTTGTCTCTTTCTGAGGTCTTGGAATCCATGCAAGTTTAAGTCGTGCTTATCCACTAAGGAACCATATTCGTTGAAGTGTATTGTTAGTGGAACAAGCTAGTTAGTATACTATGTGTAACGGAGCTCCCTGTACCCCTGCTGGGTACCTCCACCAGAGGGGTTGCTTCCTAGCTGGGACCAGGGGGAACGGGTAGGGGAACTAGCTCTCTTAGTCCTTACAAGGACTTTTCCCGTTGCATCTCCCTGCAAACTAGAACAGCAGACACAGGGGTTAAATCTTCCTTCCCTCCGGTAACCAGACGACACACAGTTCTGGAGGTTAAAGCGCTGACTTACAGATAACAACATTAGACAGGGACACACATTAAAACACATAAACTCCTCGAAAGTACAATTCCAATTTCAAAAAAGGGTTAATTGGATTGCATGGAATGTCCAAGCTTACAAACCCAATCCCTCTTTGAAGCTTGGACTCCAGCAGAGCTCTTCTGCAGGGTGTGGGAAGTCACACTAACGTGTCCTGGAAGTCTCACGATATGGTAATGATCAAGCCTTCTAGAAACAGGAAACCCTTGATACAATACCATATCCAAAAGAGACATTTGTTTAACCCAATTATCCCCCAGGCACTAGCGTTGCAGATCATAAAACATAAACTATTAAATATACAGCCCTAAAAATAAACCAGGAAAATCACACAAAATGCATAACCAATACACGGGGAAACACACAATACAATGGAAAAACACACAAATAAGCAGTGGGCATGGTATGTAGTGATGGTGGTTCGTCACACTATGTAACATCTGGAAGATAAAACCGCAGTATATTCTGGGTTTCTGGTGAGTCTGCTACCAATCAAACGTAATCTTGGGGCTTAGTGGAGCAGTTAGTGGTGCAGGTTAGGCAAAGAAACTCACGGGTCTGAACTGGTACACCTTTAGTGCCAGAGATGCCAGGGCCATATCGTCATAATATTGTAATGTGACGAGGCCACATTTTAAACACTGTACACACTGACAGAGCTTTCTACTAAACAAATTTAAAAAAGGCTTGTTTTACTTTTAAACCTTCATCTGCCTAGCAGATAGATTCAAAATGTGTCCTTATGTGTGATTGCCATGTTTGATACTAAAATAAGAAACTATCTAATAAACACATCTCCCTCTCTGATTTGTTAACGTTAAATATTGCGAACCCACATAAGGCTACCAAATTAAGGGCTTATCTACGTTCTACACCTCTGTACGATCACGGCGTTCCTTTCGTCTGAATGAAAACTGTGAAACAAGATTATCAGACAAAACTCATCTGAAACAAATGGTTTAATGGACGACATTTGTTTTGGACATAAAAAAAGATTGCATCTGAATTTTTTCAGATGAACCAAAGATTTATGCCATGCACAAGTTTGGCCTGCACCATTAACTTCGTTGCAAACAGGTGAAAGTCTAAGAAATTTTGATAATAAACCTGATAATAAATGGAGTTTTTATAAAATTTGATTACAGCTGTATACATTGGGGTTATATATGTATATGGATGGCTGCTCATTTTCTTAAATTTAATCTGTCCAAAACAGAACTTCTTCTCTTTCCCTCCTCAAGTGTTGCTCCTCCCATGCCTGTCTCCCTTCAAGTCAACGATGCTACCTTGCAGCTAGCTGCATTGGTGTTCTCTTTGACTCCAACCTTTCCTTCACATTTATATCACAGCTTCATTGATTCTTAACATAAAATATAAAGGTCATTGTCAACAGCAGGAAAACGTTGGCCTGCACAATTACCATCCTGCATTTTACAATTTTGACCCCCTGACAATGACCCACTCCCACATAACATAAACCCAAACATTGTAACATTTAACATAACATTGAAACATGACCATTGCCTATTGCCACCAAAGGGCACCACAAGTGTAGGGGCATACTGAGACACCCTTACACACCCCGGTTCAGAGCTACCTACGAGCTCGAACCTACCAAACCAGTTAGCCCTGAACTCCAAACTTATTCCCCATCTCACTCTTTTCTCCCCCCAACTTTACTCTCCATCCCCCGCCACAGCTCAGAGCTTGACTCCTCGAGCTCCTGAGCGACAACCCCCACCTCAGGGAAAAGATTGCCCCCTGGAGGCCCTCCTGGAAACCCAACAATAGAAAATTCAAGCCCACTTCGGAGAGATGGACCCCATCGCGCCTATAATAACCTGGAAGCATGTCTTCCAACTCCCTGTGCCGAATTACAACCCATCCCAACCGCTTCTCATACGCTGCCATCACCTTATTGACCTTTCCCTTAATTTTCGCCACTGCGGAGGGATTCCGCGCGTGTTGCCAGTGAAACCTCGGAACCATCTCCGACCATACCACCATAACCCTCGGCACTAACTCTCTCAGCTTGTCCACATCCCTCTTCTTTTTTTTTAAAATTCTTTATTTTTCCTTGTGCACAATATTACAGACAAGCTTGTAGCGCCAAGACAGTGAGTACAAGTAATTTTTGTGCAAGGTAACAGGCTTGTGATAATTGAGTGGAACTTTTGTAGAGTAGCTAGTCGATGCATTCATGGTTATATGGTCATTATGTGAGTGGTGGGTATTCAGGCTATGTAAGCTCAGGTATAGATTGCTAATCATGAGTGCGCCTACAGTGAGCAAGGTGATTGTGTAGTGATAGTGGAGGAAGGTCTCTGAGTGGTGGAGTCGCGGGCAGAGTGTGTTAGGCAGAGTGAAAGATTGCATATTAAGTTGCCTAGCGTGCTAGCAAAACAGGCAGAGTACATTTCAGTGTAGTGTTCTTCTGCTATGTCGCCTGGTCAGCTGTCGTCTGCAATGCCGCATGGCAAGTGAGTCCTGTATAGGGAAAGCGGTCCTGGCTTGTCGGGACTCAAGCTAGCCCCTCCAGTTGTTCCTCCAGACCACCCTTTGGTGCCCCTGCGATGGTCGCTGTTTGTGCTGTCATCAGCCAACTGCTGTGATCCTGCAGGCGTCTGTGTGGGGCCAGGCGGGCTCTGTAGCGGCATATTGTGCCATAAAGTAGTCTCTGGAGACGTAAAATCCACCATCTGAAGGTGCTATCGCACGTCTGAGGTGGCTGTTTAGTCATGGCTGTAGCAGAGTTTCCCTTGTCCCGGTTGGGAGGCATGCTGTTTCTTTGGGCGCGCTTGGTGTCTGTGTAAGCCGGGGGCTTGCTGTGTTCACTCAGCGAAGACTAGTAGAGGATTCACTGCTGGGCTGATCTTGCGGTTGCATGTTTGGGTGAGTGGTGCGGTTTCTCTCCCCTGGGGCTTCATAGGGCAGGAACTGCTGGTGTTGTGCCCCGCGCCGTCGCCATCTTAGCAGGTTGGCCCCCGGGAGCATCCTGCCTTGTGGTCTCCACACTTCCCGAGCCCTCCAATATGGAGACCGGGATATCCCCCCCGATCCCAAGGGGGGGGGAACGGGACCGTCAGGCATTACATGAGGTCGGCTTGTGGTGTCCGGGTAGGGAGACAGGGCAGCGGCCGTCACCCCGCTCCCTCCCGAGTAGGCCGCAGTCCCCGAAGTTTCGTACCTCCCTCTGGAGATCCAAAACTCCCGATCTCGGGTTCTGCTGCTTTGTCCGCAGCCGCGGGTACTTGGGGGTGTCAGAATTGCAGTATTTGCCTAAGAGGCACGATTTCTCCGGAGCCTCTCCTGCATGCGACCGGTCAGCATGGCGGTCCGGCCCCGCTCCACGTCCACATCCCTCTTCATACACTCAATCAATACCTTTTGAGGTAACAACCCCACATCATTGCCTCCTGCGTGAAGCACCACTATGTCCAGAACCTGTCCCAAAAGAATTTTGTGAAAAATTTCAAGACAAATTGCATTCCAACCCCAACCCCGGAAACCAAACCACTAATGCTGAACCACGGAACTTGGAAAGCCCAGCTGTAGACCACGATGTCGAACTGCAGGTCTCTGATGCGCCCAGTATATGTATGAGTGGCCGACCACCCATGCCATCCGACCTGTAAGACATAAAGCAAACATAGACAACCACGAAACAAACCGTGAAAGCACAGTTTCCCATCAACCACCCTTAGAATTTATACCAACTTGTCTGGCCTGACGTAAGATCTGAACCTCATCGACTCCCACCTGCCAATCTTCTTCACCTGATCATCTCCCAAGCCCATTCTTGTCGCTTCAGTAGCTGCGCCAATCCTAAAGGAATGAGTCCCGAATTGGCCCGGGTCCACTCCCAACCTTGCCAACGCCTTCCGAAAAACCCTGAGGAACTGGAACTTCGATAGCGAAGAGCCGTCCTCATGCTTAAAGTATGATCCCCGGCCGTCGCCCGCACCTCCTGGAAAGCCGCTGCGCACCTAACTGGACACGTTTTTCCACCCAGGAGCTCCCACAATGTAACCAACATTCCTTTTCCCAGTACATCCGTTTTGGACCGCCTCAGGTTGATCACTACTCTGTTACTCCACACTTCCACATCCACCGCTTGAAGCCCCCCGGCCCCTTGGCGATTGCTGCTGACCAGCTCGCTGACACAAAATGCCCCGAAAAAGCAAAACTAAAAATCACGGAGAACAGTGTAACTTCGTATCCTGAAAAACACACCTCGGGCAGCACCCGGACCACCTGCTGAAGCAACTCGAACGACACCGGCCTCCTGGAATCCACTGACACCGCCTGAAACCTTTCAGTGCCTGCCTAACAAGAAAATGTTTTGTGACATCCTCCCACCCATTAAACTTGAACAAAAAGGCTAACGCTGCCAGCTTACGCCCTACTACCGCTGCCGAGGCCCCTGAGGTGAACGACCTACACAAGAGCCACAACATTGCATCCAACCGGACTCCTTTGAGAGCTGACCCCCCGTATGCTGCACCAGCTCGTCCCATTCCCCCCACACCTTACTGTACGCCGTCCAGGTAGCGGGTGCCAGGGAGTCCCTGATCAGTCTGCCAAGCATGCTGTCCCGAGTCGCCACATCTCGTCCGGGCAAGACATCCCTTCCGCCCGCGCGCCAGGTGCCACCTGCCGGAACCTCTCCCACTGCGAACGAGATAACGCATCAGCAATAACATTCAACAGTCCAGGCACGTGGCGTCCCCGAAAACAATATTAAAAAGCATACAGAACAAGACAAAACGGCGAAGAAGCCGCACCACCGAGATAGAGGACGCTGAAAGCACATTCACTGCACGTTCAGCAGTTTTCTTACCTCCCCGTTCGGGAAAACGAACGGTCAGCAGTATCAGTACCTCCACGTTCGTCTCCCGAACGTTCGGCAGTTTCAGCCCATTCGCCAGTTCTCCTACCTCCACGTTTGTCTCCCAAACGTTCGGCAGTTTCAGCCCTTTCGCCAGTTCTCCTACGTCCACGGTCACTCCTGGAACATTCGGCAGATTTGGTTCCCTGCAACTCCAGCCTCGCCTGACGACGTGTTCGTGCGGCTGCACTGCGACGCCTCCCGCGACCTCCTCCACTTGCAGCCTTCCCGCCGGCTGACTCACCCCCGCCATCGGGACCTCCAGAAGGGCTCCTTGGACACCGGGAACCCGGAACCGCACTGGGGCCCAACCTCTGTGGGGGCCTTGTCCTCCTGACCGGCTTCTGACCCTGGCAGCTTCCTGATCCGGATGGCAGAGCATCTCCAAGGCGATCCCTCAGCCACTCGATACCCCTCTCTTACACAGCTGCCCGGACTCCTTCCAGCCAATCTTCCATCTTGCTGACAACCTGCAGAGGAGACAAAAGGAAAAGCCACACAACTCCTGCCACAACAACAGGTAAGTGCAACTTAGATTAAAGTGATCCCTAGCTCTACAATGGCCACTACTTATACTCCTCTTATAACTCCGCCCCACTCCATTTCCTTAAACCAATCCCTAACCACTGACCCTTAGATGCCTGTCTCCTGGCAATGTCAAGGCCCACTCCCCTTAGCTACGCTGCTCCATGGGCTACAATCTATCCTCACTGATACATAGTATATCATATCCAGGTTAAAAAATTCACTCCTTTAGTAAAGCATATCAATTGTTAATAGTTTTCCCTCCCCACACCATGGTAACCCACCCCACTTCGTCTCCTGCAACTGTGTCATCCAAAAACCTAACCATTCCATCATAAAGTATTCTAGTAACCTACCTTTCCCGTACATGTAATGCATCCTACCATTACCTCTTGTGCCACTTTACTCCAATCACTCTAGCATGTAAGCTGGTTTGAGCAGGACCCTCAATGCCCTCTGTTCCTGTACGTGCAGCTTGTCTGGTTACAAATACTTGTCTGATAGTCCACCTATTGTACAGCACTACAGAATTTGCTATTGCATTATAAATATTAATAATAATAATAATTTGTTTGTGTATATAGTGAGGGGTGTATATGTGTGTATATATTGGGGTCACATACGTATATGTTTGTGTATACAGTGGGGGATGTATATGTATATACATGTGTTTATAAGACTCTCTGGCCGAAGCCTCTGTCTGGTTTCCATGGCAGCTAGTTCCCTATACCAGCGACTGATACAGAGAATAAGAGAGAGACACACAAAGAGAAGGAGGAAACACTACAGGGGCTGACAAAGTACTGATTGCGGAGAGGGTGGGGAGGAGCAGGTAACAGGAGAATAGGAGATGGCACTGTTTACATTGCTGGGGGATCAGAGAATGTGAGTAGGTGTAAGGTTAAGGGGAAACAAATACAAAATGCGTAAGAGTTTATTCTTGGGAAGATGGGAAGACTAGAAGAGGTAGGTGGGAGATTGTTAGTGATAGATTAGAAGAGGTAGGTGGGAGTTGGTTAATGGTAGATTAGAAGAGGTGAGTGTGAGATGGGTAGTGGTATATTAGAAGAGGTAGGTGGTGCGTGGTAGTGGCAAATTAGAAGAGGTAAGTGTGAGATGGTTAGTGGTAGATTAGAAGAGGTAGGTGGGAGATGGGTAGTGGTATATTAGAAGAGGTAGGGGGGAGATGGGTAGTGGTAGATTAGAAGAGGTAGGTGGGGATTGTTAGTGATAGTTTAGAAGAGGTAGGTGGGAGTTGGTTAATGGTAGACTAGAAGAGGTGAGTGTGAGATGGGTAGTGGTATATTAGAAGAGGTAGGTGGTGCGTGGTAGTGGCAAATTAGAAGAGGTAAGTGTGAGATGGTTAGTGGTAGATTAGAAGAGGTAGGTGGGAGATGGGAAGTGGTATATTAGAAGAGGTAGGTGGTGCGTGGTAGTGGCAAATTAGAAGAGGTAAGTGTGAGATGGTTAGTGGTAGATTAGAAGAGGTAGGTGGGAGATGGGTAGTGATAGATTAGAAGAGGTAGGTGGTGCATGCTAGTGGCAAATTAGAAGAGGTAAGTGTGAGATGGTTAGTGGTATATTAGAAGAGTAGGTTGGTGAATGGTAGTGGTAGATAAGAATAGGCAGGTGGGGATGTTTAGTGGTAAATAAGACAAGGTAAGGGGGGTATTATTTTGGGAGGTGATTAGGGGTATGACACTGAGGAAAGGTACAAAGGTAAAATAATAAATTATTTTTATTGGGTTTGGAGCACAGATTGGCCTCAAACACGCTATGGGTAGTGGGGTTACTGGTCAATCAGAATACATGGACTGAAATGGGAGGGGGTGTTCTAGCGGTGGGAGAAAAAGTAGGGGCAATAGAATGGAATATAGGGGTGTCAGGGATCAGCAGGGGTCTGTACAATGAGCAGGGGAGAAGAAGTAGAAATTAGGTCACATGAAGGGTATATTTGGGAAGGAATTTGGAGAGGTTGGAGAACGTCCTCTGAATTATTTGGTACTGGGACACAGGGCTGGTATTCAGGGGTTTTACTGAGATACGAAACGAGCATCGAAGAGCTAGGTTTGCACAATCCGACTACCATGGTATTCTTAATCCCATAATACAGAGAACCTCGATGTAAACATCTCCAAATCGCCAATAACCTCCATTCCCCCTACTCAGCACAAACTGGAAACTCCTAAACCGAATGCATTCTAAATCTTTTCATTTATTGATTTCCACTGAATATGTTTGTGTTTTTTCCAGATTTTATTATATTTATTTAATTTGCTCTGGCTGTGAGGCCGCAAGAACCTTTGTCTTATTGGCATTTACATTAGCTAGCGCCTTGTGAGCCAGAATTGCTGCAGAACTTACAGCGCGTTGCAGATGAGTGGAACGCAGATAAAACAATAATGCACCTCCTGAACACAGTCATTAAAGCAAAGCCACGAGGGGCCCAGGCAGTGGGCCCCACATCTGCACTGCCCGTGCTTTCTGCACACTTGCTAAATTGTCACACATAAAGGGACATTTACGAGAGACCACAATTGAGTCACTGTAGGGGGCAGAAAGTAAAGGAAATGAGCTTGGACAGACTTACAAAATTAAACAGGACACTGGAGAAAGACAGCCAGCTCTCGGCCACATGTAGCTTATTTACTAAACAGCAAATTCAAGTGAATTCAATACTCTTCTACAAAATTCATATTAGCCGAGCTGTGACTGTATCTGAGCTGGAGGATTCCCCAAATCGGCTTTTTTATCCTATATTTTGCAATTCAGATTTCAATTCCCTGCAATTCATTGTTTAGTAATGAGATGTTTTAATGTAAGAGTAAACAGAAAGCTGTGTGTATAGAATCACTCACTATATCTCAATATAGACTCATAGATCTTTGCTTCCCCACCCTTAACACCATTGCTACCACCTTGCAGTATATGGCAAAGCCTAGATAATGCAGTTGGACCTGGCAGTATATCATCGAGATAGGGCAGTTGGACCTGGCAGTAAATCACAGAGAGAGGGCAGTTGGACCTGGCAGTAAATCGCAGAGCTAGGGTAGTTAGACCTGGCAGTATAGCACCAAGATATAGCACCAACAGTATGTCCCTAAAATAGGGCAGATGGACCTGACAGTATATCACCGAGATAGGACAGTTGGACCTGACAGTATATCACCGAGATAGGACAGTTGGGCCTGGCAGTATATCACTGAGATAGTGCAGTTGGACCTGGCATTATAGGGCAAAGCAAGGGCAGTTGGACCTGGCAGTATATGGCAAAGCAAGGGCTGTTGGACCTGGCAGTATATCACCAAGATAGGGCAGTTGGACCTGGCAGTAAATTGCAGAGAGTGGGCAATTGAACCTGGCAGTAAATTGCAGAGCTAGGGTAGTTAGACCTGGCAGTATATCACTGAGAAATGGCAGATGGACCCAGCAATATATTACCAGGATAGGGCAGATAGAACTTGCAGTATATCATCGAGATAGGGCAGTTGGACCTGGCAGTAAATCTCAGAGAGAGGGTAGTTAGACCTGGCAGTATAGCACCAATATACGGCAGATGGACACAACAGTATATCACCGAGATAGGGCAGATGGACCTGGCAGTATATGACCGAGATAGGGCAGTTGGACCTGGCAGTATATCAAAGAAATAGGGCAGTTGGACCTGGCAGTATTTCACTGAGATAGGGCAGTTGGACCTGGCAATATATGGCAAAGAGAGTTCAGCTGGACCTGGCAGTTTATAACCGAGATAGGGCAGTTAGACCTGGTAGTATATCACCGAATTAGGGCAGATGGACCGGGCAGTATACCACCGAGATAGGGCAGTTGAACCGGGCAGTATATCACCAAGATAGGGCAGTTGGACCTGGCAGTATATCACCGTTATAGGGCAGTTGGGCCTGGCAGTATATCACTGAGATAGTGCAGTTGGACCTGGCAGTATAGGGCAAAGCAAGGGGAGTTGGACCTGGCAGTATATGGCAAAGCAAGGGCTGTTGGACCTGGCAGTATATCACCAAGATAGGGCAGTTGGACCTGGCAGTAAATTGCAGAGAGAGGGCAGTTGGACCTGGCAGTAAATTGCAGAGCTAGGGTAGTTGGACCTGGCAGTATATCACTGAGATAGGGCAGATGGACCCGGGAGTATATCACTGAGATAGGGCAGTTGGACCTGGCAGTATATCACAGAGATAAGGCAGTTGGACCTGACAGTATATCACAGAGATAGGGCAGATGGACCTGGCAGTATATAACCGAGATAGGGCAGATGGACCTAGCAGTGTATCACTGAGATAGGGCAGATGGACCTAGCAGTGTATCACTGAGATAGGGCAGATGGACCTGGCAGTAAATCGCAGAGCTAGGGCAGTTGGACCTGGCAGTAAATCGCAGAGTTAGGGTAGATGGACCTGGCAGTTAATCACTGAGATAGGGCAGATGGACCTGGCAGTAAATCACTGAGATAGGGTAGTTGGACCTGGCAGTAAATCGCAGAGTTAGGGTAGATGGACCTGGCAGTAAATCATAGAGATAGGGCAGTTGGACCTGGCAGTAAATCGCAGAGTTAGGGTAGATGGACCTGGCAGTAAATCATAGAGATATGGCAGTTGGACCTGGCAGTAAATCACAGAGTTAGTGTAGATGGACCTGGCAGTA